GTGCACACGCATTACTGTTTTAACGGCTTCCGTTTACAGGGTGACACGGAATCACCTGCAGTCACACAGTCAGGGACCCTCGCGTGCACACGCATTACTGTTTTAACGGCTTCCGTTTACAGGGTGACACGGAATCACCTGCAGTCGCACAGTCACCTTCAGCACCTTCTGCACTCCCCGAGCACTCCAGAGGCTCCAGCCTCTACCCCGACACTGTCATGAATTTCCCACTTAATCACAACTGTAATCCTGGAAAACTGGCATTAACCTTGTTTTACAGAGGGGGAAACTGAGGCATGAGGCGGTCAGTGATCAGCAAGAAGTTGGTGGGGACCACCGTGCCAGCTCCGGCTCGGCCCACCACACCCTCCCAGCACACACCCACCCCGTCATGTCACCACCCCCATTCTCCTTGTTTCACAACTGAGTAATCCCAGGGCCCCAGAAGGGAAGTCCCACCCCCGAGGCCACCCCGCCCAGGTGTGCTGACAGACCAGGCAGGGATGGCACCCGACTCGCCCCAAGCTGTGCAACCAAAATGAGGGAGGAACAGTGGGGTCTGTGCCCCACCACCGTGGGAGCATGCAGACGGCACCACGGGCAGTCTGATGGAAAAGCCAGGGCTGGAAATACTGCCACAGACGCGGGACAGGCACCTCCCACCTGTCACGCATCCCCTCTCCCTGCCAGGTGGCAGCAGGCAGCCCGTTGCAATGGGGCGTCAGAACAGCGGGGTTCCCTGGGGCGGCGGTTTGGGAAACACACCCCAAGGCTGCAGTGTGCAGTGGCGTCCCAGGACTCAGCCGAGTCAGCCATGAAGACAGCTTCCACGCTGCCCAGTCAGATTTTGACCACAGAACCTTTTTTTTTTTTTTTTTTTTGCCCATGAAACATCTGTAGCATCACATTTAGGAGAACTCTGATCTAGATGACCCCCTCAATCTGACGTGTGGGTAATCTGTGGCCCGGGGAGGGGAAAGGTTTGCCCCAAATCACACAGAGACTTGGACAGAAGCCCTGGGCCCACTCCCACTCCTGCCCCTCCTACAGCTCAGCCTGTCAGGTTTTCCTGGGCTGAGAGGTACTGGGTCTGACACCCAGTGAGAGTAAATGCTCTCCCAGGAAAGGGCTCTCCCTCCCTTCCCACACCAGGCCCGGTGTGGACAAACTTCCTGTGGCCAGGGGCAGGGACCCAGGGGCCTGAGGACAAGAGCTGGGCTGGGGCACAGCTGGCCCCAAACCCACCAGCCCTGGCCAGTCCTGGCCTCTGGGGCCCACCTTTCTCCCTCGTATCCTCCAGGCCTGGGGGTTTACCGGAGCGGTGGCCCCCTCCCCTCCCACTGCCCCGAGAGCCCCTGGGGCCACCCAACAGGTATCAGGGTGGACTTGCCTCTGAAACTGTGGTGTGCCCAGCAGAGGGGCCCGGTGCACGGCTGGGTGCACGCTGCTGAGCCGAGATGCGGCCCTCAGCACAGGATACAGGTCAGGACGCCAGACACACGGACAGAACATCGCGGAGTCTCTCTCTGCACCCTCCGGCACGCCAGCTGCATCTCAGCTCCCCTGTCCCCCGTCCCTCCACCCCGATGTCCTCACTCCGTTATTTCTCCTCTCCTGCCCCGCACACCTTTGTAAGCTGCCCTCCTCCTTCTCGGACGTAAGAGAAAACGGGAGAGGAATCCATTTTACTGTAACCTTTGGGGCGCGTCTTCACCTTCCTAAGTGCTCCATTGCCGCACGGAGAGTTCCTGGCCCTGCGATGTGGGGGCCCGGCAGAGCCACAGCTTTTAACAGCTCAGGGTGCACTGGCCTTTCAGAAGAAGGACCTCAGTGATGCAGGAGATACCAGGTCTTACTCCAGGCTCCAAGCGCAGGACCAAGAGTCTTACCTGGAGCTGCCCCTTTGGTCACTACGTCCTCCAACTCAAGAGGCTGGCCCTGCCCAAGGAACTTACTCCTGCAGATCCCTTGTGGCCCTGCCCACATGCCCAGGGCATCTGCTGGGGTTGCAGGATCCCTGGACAGCACTTCTGGAAGGAACTGCATGGAGTCAAGGGTCACGTGGGGAAGCCAGGGCCTCGGGCTCCAACCTGGCTCAGCCGCGTTTCTGTCTCACCTCTGAGCTGCCACTTCCTCAGCACAGGGGACAGTGAGAACAGCTACTCCTGGTGGTCTGGAGAGTTAAATGAGTCCACACCCATGAGGCAGGGCAGGGCCCCCCAGAGTCACAGCTGCTGTCCCCATGGGGCTTGTGATGGGGATCCCGTTCCAGGGTGGCAGTGACAAGAGCCCAGCCTGGCTTCCCCTGTGTCCTGTGTCCTGGGGCCGGAGATGTGGGCAGGATTAACAAGACCAGGGACGTCAAGTGGTGTGCTGTCCCCACAGCGGGACCTCGGGCCTGCTACATAAGCCTGGCTCCTCCCTCCTTACGGCCCAGCAAGGCCTGCCCCTTCCCCCCAACCCCCCGCCTCCACGGCAGGAGGTGCCCGTGCAGCCCGGGCCGTCGGAAGACCCCACTGGAACAGCTAACGCGGACTCAGAACCCAACAGCCTGGGATGAGGGGGCAGGCGGGAAGGAGGTTGGATGGAGGAACTTGAAAGCTGTGAGCGACCCGGCCCTGTCTCAGTTTACTCATCTGACAAACACAAGCGTCAGGGTGTGACTCGGAGCTTCCATGGAACAAGCCAAAACTATTCATTTTAATGCTTTATTTCTGAAGGCCTCCTAGACAGGTGGGGCAGGAGCCCACCCCAAGGAAGGGGCCCTATCCGGCAGGAGCAGACATGCGTGACGTTAGCCTCCCACAGCCCGGCTGGAATCCTCCACCAGTTTCTGGGCCCCTGCAGGGCTGTGGCCACTGCACCCCAGCTCAGTGCCACCGAGAGCCACAGGTGGACACGCCCCGGAGTGAGCAGAGACCCTGGGCCTTGAACCTGCATGGCCAATGGCTCTCACAATGGTGGGAATCCCAGGTCTGGGCACCCATTCCCATCGCTGCTGCAGTCCATTGGAAGTGACCTCCCCCACCAGCGCTGGGAACACAGTGGGAGGGCCCAGCACAGGGACATAATGGGGGAGCACTCAGTGCCCCCCTGCACCTGCCAGGGCTGAGCGGGGCCTCACTTCCGCCACTGCCTCCCGCCAGAAGAAAGCCCAGCAGGACTGCACCCCCGTCCCCAGTCAGGCTACAGCCACGGACCCTGACCTGAGCCCCCTGGAGGGGGACAGAGTCCTCCAGCCAACACCAGCCAGAGGCTACAGCCACAGCCCCAGCCCCGAGCCCCCTGGAGGAGGACAGAGCCCTTCAGCCAATACGAGCCAGGCAGAGTGTATCCTTGGGGTCAACCCAGGTCTTCTCCAGCCATCTGGCCAGTGCAGACTTCCAACTCCAGTGCTCCACATCTGAGCTGGACATGTGCCTCAGTGGACCTTACAGGGGCTTGGGGAGACCACCTGATGCGTGAGCTGCCGGCCCCGGCAGACAGAACATGCAAGGACAATGAGGCACCGAGAGTAAGTGACTCGGCCAAGGTCAGCCACTGGTGGGCAGTGGGGCTGGGACTCACGCCGGAAATGCAGCTCCAGACCTCACCATGTGGCCCTCGAAGCTGGCAGCATGCATGAGCAGGGCCCGCTGGACACAGGTCAGCAAGGACCTCAGTGGGGACCCAGCACCGCACTCCGCCACAACCACCCCACGCAGGCCCTCAGCACTGCACTCCGCCACGCTCACCCCTCGCAGGCCCTCAGCACCGCGCTCCGCCACGATCATACCTCACAGGCCCTCAGTGCCGCGCTCCGCCACGCTCCCCCTACACAGGCTGATGCTGGAGCCAGAAGCTGTCAGACATGGGACCGCAGGGCCAGGCACCACACAGATATGGCGACCAACACAGCCATCCAATCTGACTCGGACCTCCGCCTGGCCCCCAGCGCACAACCATCTAGAGATCCCCCAGTAAAAAAGCTGCATGCGGCCGACTGTTCCCTGGAAAGGCCTGTTGGGTTGGGGCGGGGTGGGGGTACCATCCGTTCCCAGCAAAACCCTTGGGCATCTCTCCAAAGACCACTGGGGTCAGGCAGGCCTGTAGCTGGCAAAGCCAGGGCCTCCGAGCCGAGGGCTCTTGGGGGAGCCCCTGCAAACAAGGGCAGGATTCCCTTGGCAGGCAGAATACGCACCACACTCTGAAAGAAGTTTGAGCCCACAACAGCAGACGGCCACGTGCCTCAGGCCCAGAGGGGCAAGGACCCACCAGACACGAGGCCAACGGGATTAAGTCAAGGACTTTGAGATGGCAGATTATCCTGGCTCATCCGGCAGGGCCCAATATGGACAGAAGAGTCCTTCTGGGAGGGAGACGGCGGCACCAGGCCCTCTACACACAGTCTGTGTGGTCGCAGCCCTGACCCAAACAGCTTCCAGAACATTCCCTGCTTCACAAGGAGCCTGTCTCCGTTTGGCTGTGCCTTCTCCATTTCTCACTTAGGAGCCGCCTTGTATGGGCTGAGGCTCCCCAGTCAGGCTGAGGCAGCGGAGCCCACAGTGCAGCAGCCTCCAGGCAGCTGGGACACCTGGCCCTAAGGGAGCTTGGCTTCTTGGGCCCGGGGGACATGGGACAGTGACCAGCACCATCGCCGGGCAGTGAGGGCAGACCTGGGCACCCAACGTGTTGCTTCACCAACAGGAGACGCCACTAACAGCCTGGCCTCACAGCTACCCCGGGTGCCTCAGCAAGAACCAGCCTCAATCAGCACGTCCCTCACACCCCCTTCCCAGGTGGGGGACCAGCTTGGGGGGGGCCTGCCCCGTCCAGGATTCCTCTGCCAACCTGATCCCCAAACCCCAAAGCTGAGCTCCCAGCCACCGTCCTGGCCGCCGCATGACATCACGGGGAGTGTGCTGTCCGTGGAGCAGGCATTTCTGTGCAATGGCTCCGTGCATCACCATTTCCGCATGGAAACAGGGCTGTGGCCTTGGAGTGGGAGGAGAAGGGCAGAGAGCACGTGGCCCTCCTGGGCAGCCCCTTGAACACACCCAGCCTCCCTCTCCAGAGCCCCCCAGTCTCCACCAACAGCCCATTACCTCTCTGAAGGCCACTGAGAGAGACCCCGCATGGCACACCTCCTTATGAGGGATGGAGGGAAACTGAGGCCCCAGGCCCTTCCCCCAACAGTCCCATATAGTCCATAAGAGGTTCCAGGAAGGGGGAGTGTCCCAGGATGGGGAAGTGTCCCGGGAGGTAGGAGTGTGTCCCAGGAGGGGAGTGTGTCCCAGGACGGGGAAGTGTCCCGGGGGGGTAGGAGTGTGTCCCAGGAGGGGCGTGTGTACCAGGAGGGGGGAGTGTCCCAGGACAGGGAAGTGTCCCGGGAGGTAGGAGAGTGTCCCAGGAGGCAGGAGTGTCCTGGGAGGGAGGAGTGTCCCGGGATGGGGGAGTGTCCCGGGAGAGGGGAGTGTCCCGGGAGTGGGGAGCGTGCCCCGGGAGGGGGGACTGTCCCGGGAGGGGGGAGTGTTCAGGGAGAGGGGAGTGTGTCCCGGGAGAGGGGAGTGTCCCGGGACGGGGGAGCGTATCCCGGGAGGGGGGAGTGTCCCGGGAGGGGGGAGTGTCCCGGGATGGCGGAGTGTCCCGGGAGGGGGGAGCGTGTCCCGGGGGGGGAGTGTGTCCCGGGAGGGGGCAGTGTGTCCCAGGATGGGGTAGTGTCCCAGGATGGGGGAGTGTCCTGGGAGGTGGGAGGGTATACTGGGAGAGGGGAGTGTCCCGGGAGGGGGGAGTGTGTCCAGGGAGCGAGGAGTGTGTCCTGGGAGGGAGGAGTGTGTCCTGGGAGGGAGGAGTGTCCTAGGAGGTGGGAGAGTATACTGGGAGAGGGGAGTGTCCCGGGAGGGGGGAGTGTGTCCAGGGAGGGAGGAGTGTGTTCCGGGAGGGAGGAGTGTCCCGGGATGGGGGAGTGTCCCAGGCTGGGGGAGTGTGTCCTGGGAGGGAGGATTGTCCTGGGAGGTGGGAGAGTATACTGGGAGAGGGGAGTGTCCCAGGAAGGGGGAGTGTGTCCTGGGAGGGAGGAGTGTGTCCTGGGAGGGAGGAGTGTGTTCCAGGAGGGAGGAGTGTCCTGGGAGGGGGGAGTGTCCCGGGAGGGGGGAGTGTCCCAGGAGGGAGGAGTGTCGGGGGAGGGGGGAGTGTGTCCTGGGAGAGGGGAGTGTCCCAGGAGGTAGGAGTGTGTCCAGGGAGGGGAGAGCGTGTCCTGGGAAGGGGGAGTGTCCCAGGAGGTAGGAGTGTGTCCCAGGAGCGGGGAGTGTCCCGGAAAGGGGGCGTGTCCCAGGAGGGGGGAGTATCCCAGGATGGGGAAGTGTCCTGGGAGCGAGGAGTGTCCCAGTAAGTGTCCCATCTGCATGGCGTCCCCATCCCCGCCCAGGCCCCGCCACTCACCTGCCCGCAGCAGGATGACCTGGTCGTCCAGGGGCAGCTCTGAGAAGTGTGGGATCCGCTTGGCCCACTCTACCAGCGTGAAGAGCTGCTTGTCGGCTGCTTGGCAAATGTTGGTGACGGGGTCGTTCGGCTATAGTGGAGGAATAAGAGAGGGACATTCAGTCCCAGAAGCCAGTGTACTGACAGAACACAGCCAGACCGGCCCTGCCCCACACACTGGGCCCATGCGGGGTGCTGAATACGGCCCCCAAAGATGCCCAGTTCCCAATCCCCGGAACCTGGGACTATGCGACCTTGCATGGCACATGGGGCTTGGCAGAGGTGATTAGGTGTGGCCTGAAATTGGGAGGTGGGCCTGCACCACCAGGGGGACCCAGGGTCATTGCACGGGGCCTGTGAGAGGGAGGCAGGAGGGTCAGAGGAAGAGATGCGATCACAGACACTGGGGCCCAAGGGGAGAGAGACGCTGCTGGCTTTGAAGGTGGAGGAAGAGGCCATGAGCCAAGGAATGTGGCAGCCCCAGAAGCAGAGGCAGAGGCAGACTCCCCAGCAGAGCCCGCAGGAGCCAGCCGGCAGGCACCTTGACGTCAGCCCACTAAGACTGATTTTGGCTCTCTGGCCACAGAACAGTCAGATAATAAAATGTGTGTTGTTTCCAGCCACTAGGTTACGGCAGGCGCGGGGAGCTGGGGAAATCGGATACGGGGCAGTGTTGGAGCAGGGTGGGACTGACCGCCTTCATCTCTGACGGTCACGGTGGCCCACCCTGGGGACAGGGCTGGCCTCTCACGTTCCAGCAGGCATGGATGTGGGAGCTCGGGAGGGCAGGCGACTCGGCTGAGATACCAGGCCCCAGGCACAGAGAGAGGGCGGCACTCACGGCTCCTCTGGAAAGCCCTAGCCGGAAAAGGGCCACTCAGTCTCACAGATGAGGGGACCCAGGCGGCCTTGAAGTAGGGCAGGACGGGAGAGCCCTCCCCAGCTCCTGGCAGGTGGGGCTTGGGTCATGGACCTTCTGTGTCCTGAGTAAGGGGAACTCAGACGACGGCCCCCTCCGTGATGCCGCTGCAGGAGGAACGACCGTCAACAGGATTCGGGGATCCCTCACTCCAGGGCATCCGCCAAGGAGAAAAATGCCTCCCTTTGAAGAGTTTCCACAAACAGAATCCACCTGCTCGCCAGAGGCGTGCAGACCAAACGCAGCGCCCGGCGGGAAAGGCCTCTGAGGGCGGAGAAGGCCTCCGAGGAATGGCACAGAGACTCACCAGGCAACACAGCGCCCCGAGCAGGCCCAGGTGACAGGCTGGTGCCATGGGCAAGGAAGGAGAGCCTCAAGCCCTCCTGGGCTGGCTCGGACCTCTGCAAGAGTGGGCACGGGGGTCACCATCTGTCATGTGCCTGCAGTTGGCCCCTCAGGAGAGGCCAGGGCAGCCCTTGGGGGCCCGAGCCAGAAGGGGTGCACAGAGGGGTGAGATCCCTCGGCTGAGAGGGGTTCGCCACAGTCTACACAGGTCTGTGACTCACTCATTCCTCTGCAAACCTTCCATGAGCAGCATCAGCAGCCCCCAGCACTCACACAGCTCCTGGCTCTGTGCTCAGCGCCCCCCAGGCCGGCCACAGCCAGGCCAGCTTCTCAGCCTCAGCCTCTCCTTCTGTCACGCTGGGGGCTGAAAGGGGCCTGTCCTTCTTGCCTGCCCATCTGCCACAGGGCATCCCTGAGAAAGGATCGAGCAGGTCTGGCAGGGGCGGGGGGATGTGGGGAAAACCAGCCCCAAGCACTGCGTCTGCAGCAGGTGGCTCTGCCTGGGATCCTTGTACCCGGGAACTTCCCAGCCGCTGGCCGGCCACTCTCGGAAGCCAACACAGGGCCCAGAGCAGGCCCAGGTGACAGGCTGGTGCCATGGGTAAGGAAACAGAGCCTCAAGCCCTCCTGGGCTGGCTGGCTCGGACCTCTGCAGGAGTGGGCACAGGGGTCACCATCTGCCATGTGCCTGCAGTGGGCACAGCCGGGACAGGGAGCAGAATATGGCAGGCTGGAGAGCCAGGAGGCTGGAGCGGAGAAGGAGGCACACTCCCGGCAGGTGTGAGGCTCTGACTCCAGTACCAGCAGGGCTAGGCCTGGAGAGGGTCCCCTAGGTAGGGAGGAACAGTGCAGGAACCCGGCTCCCCCTCCCTGTGTGGCCTCGGGAAAGGATTAACCTCCCACTCTCGCCTGGAGATCCAACGTGCCTAGTGTAACACAAGGCGTAAGATGGATGGGCTCTACTCCTGCCTAGAAGTGTCCACAGGACCTGCCCAGGCCCTGCCCTGCGTGGGGGAGAAACCAGGCACCAGGACCGCGACGCTGGGCAGCCTGCCCCCTTTCTGGACCTCAGTTTGCCCATCTGAGGGAAGGGGCCCAGGGAGCGGTTCTGGAAGTTGGACCCAGGCCAGGCCACAGAGGAGCGTTCAGTGTGAGCTCAGGCACAGCAGGGAGTGAGCGGGCACAGAGAGACCCCGTCCCCGTGGAAGATGTGTCCTTTATCCCCAGCGAGTCCTGCCTGCCTTTGTGGTTCTCTAAACTCCCTCAACTTTGATGCAGTGAGGGAGAGAGCAGATGGCAGATTTCCCCCGCCAAATAGTGTCCTTCTTCACGAAATAAAAACGTGGCAGCCCTTTGTGCATCTGCCAAACTTGTTTTTGGATTTTCTGCTGGATCATGAAACCCTCACAGCCACCCTCCCTCTTCTGCCCTCCGCAGGGCTGGTGAGGCGGGCGCGGGGCGGGGCAGGTGTGTAGACCAGCCAGGGCTGGGGGTGGGTCTGCACCTGTCACTCATGGGGACGGTTTCTCCGGAAAGAAGGTGCCTGTTGTCAGGGTCCCACGTACCTTCTCCCCAGCCGGGCAGCCCCAGTCCCCGGCCAGAGTAGAGGTCTGAGCAGAGCCGGGGACATGAGGGCAATGGGTTGTCCTATCCAGAAAGGGCAGGGAAGCAGGGTGGTCCTGACCCAGCCACGGGGCCTCAGACAAGAGCAGACCCCCACCCTCAGACAGACAGACGCAGCAGGGGTGCGGGCCCTGTGTGAGTGCCAAGGAGCAGGGTGGGGTCGCTGTCCTTGACCGAAGCTGGCGGTGAGGAACAGCAGAGCCGTCACCAGCAGCCTCGTGGGGGCAGAAATTAACCCACCACACACCTTATCCTGTGATCACACCTCACCCTGTGATGGCCAGTGCCAGGGGCCACAGAGAAAAGAGCAGGTGCTCTCAGCCCACATCACAGGGGCAGTCCCCATCCTGACGGGGGCACAGATGAAGGCCAGAGGTACCTCAGCTGAGACCAAAGCCTGAGGAAGAGCCAGAGGGCCCAGCTCCAGGCCACGGGAGCCACAAGCATGAAGGGGCAGGGAAGTGGTGGGCAGGGGGACAGCGACCTGCAGGGCACAGCCAGCATGGAGGACAGGCTGGTGTGCCTGGACCCACAGAGGGACAAAGGTCGAGGCGACCTCATGGTCGGCCTGTACAAGGTCTTTGGTGGCCACAGGGCTCTGGTCCCGGCCCCAAACCCACAGGGAGACACGGGTGAAGACTGGACACCACGGTGACCGCGGCGAAGACGCAGGGGCCCTGAGGGCCAGCTGGACCCAGGTCCCCCGCAGCAGGAAGCTTAGTGCACAGTTCTGAACCTTCACTCGGGCGGCCGGGAGCTCACCTGCCTAACCCCGGGCACAGCTGGAGCTGCCCCCTCAGTGGGGCCTGGGACAAGGGGGGGGTCTCCCAGCCAGACAAGTTTACCAGGGAGCAATGGGTCCCGAGCAGTGCAGGTTCCTGGGCCTTAGGGTAGGAGGGGCTCAGAACACACCTGTGCCACCCTCCCTGGCAAGGCCACAGCCAGAAGCAAAGATGCCACAGGGAGGGAGCCAGTAACAGGGAGGGTCCAAGGAGGGGAGGACAAGGCCAGGGGTTCTTGAATCCAACACCTCCAGGAGCAGCTGGAACCGGCCCAGGAGAAGAGCCTGGGAGCAGGGCTGTGGCCCACCCAATTCTCCTCCCCTTGAGGCTGTCGGGGTGGGAGGGGGCAGGAGGGTGAGCATGGGGGTGACCAGCTGGCGGGCTGCGGAGCTGCTTCCTGCGTCTACGGCAGCCACCGAGACTGCTGGGCACCTGCCCAGGGCCACACGGCTGCGGGTAGAGCCAGCCCTGGAACCAACCTGCAGAGCCTCTTGCCGGGGCTTGGCCTCCTCCCACACCTTTTCCAAGGGGCACCAGGGAGCAGGGACAGCCTCTGCACCCAGAGAGGCCAAACTCCAAGGGGACACAGCGGCTGAGGCCCCAGCAGAGATGGCTGAGAAGGAGGATGTGGCTGCAGGGCCCCTGGTCCCCGGCCCCCGCCCCGAGGGCCACCCGTGCATGGGCCAGGAGAGGACAGTGCCGCCCAGCTGGGGCGAGGGGCCCACAGGGCCACCTCGGGTAAGAGGCTGAGCTGAGGCGGCCACAGGGCCCAGGGCAGCCCCCAGGACCTCTCTGGTTCATCAGCTGCTCAGGCGGGAGGGCGAGTAAGGGAAACTGAGGCAGGTGGGGCTGCCCACCCCCGCAGAGGCGGTGACTCACCGAGCTGGGGTTCAGCCCCATGTTCGCCTCCACGTAGGTCTCAGTCTTGGGCTCCACGGCCAGCTCAGCCTCCAGGATCCTCTCCACCGGCATATCCTCATTGGCGCTGCTGGTCGACTCCACCTCATTCTCGTTCCGGTCCTTGCCACGCTGCCGCTCCTCCTGCACGGCTACAACCCGGGAGGTGCAGGTCAGCCCCACACTCAGCCGGGCCAGTGGCTCCCAGGGAAGGCTGTCCTGGCCGGGTGGTGCCAGCTCCCAGCCAACGCACCCACAACACCAGCATCCCCACCAGCGCTGGGTGATGGAGACCCCGTCTCTGCCCCATGCCTGGCCGTGTGGCTGTGTGCTCTGAGAACAGAGGCCAACTCGCATTCATTCCAATTAAAGTTCACACCAGGAGCCTGCCTGGGGCCTGGCAGGAGACGGTGCAGCAGGGACCTCAACATGGGGTGAGAAAGGCCCAAATGGTCTATGGACTCAGGGAGAACCAGGAAGCCTTCCTGGAAGAGGTGTTGATGTGACTGGAGGAGGAGGTTGCAGAGGAATCATGGCTCAGGCTGGAGACACAGTCCCTGCCAAGGCCCAGAAGCAGAGCAGAGCACACACATGACGCGGCACAGGGGCACTCATGCTGGCTGAGGGCCTGGACAAGGGGAATATCCAGGAGGTGACAGGCTCAGAGACACCTGGGCAAGCAGGAAACCGTGCACCTGCAGACCCCACGCCCCTCCCAATGACACTAGGCCCTGCCAGAAATGGAGGGCAGGCGCCCAGCCCCACCCTGGCCACACAGAGGCGGCCCACCCAGCTCCACCGACCATGCCCCAAGCAGGGCACCAAGATGCCTTTCAATCCGCTCCAGGAAGCAGCCACTCCAGTGGAACCAGAGGCCGAGCATTAAGGTAAAACAGAGCGATGCTTGCAGGCAGCGGGAGCTGCATCAGGCATGGGCTCCAGCCAGCTGACTCTGATCAGCCCCGGGGGTGGGCGCTCAGCGAAGGGGCCTGAGGCATGAGTCCTGGCTGCCCAGGTACATGCGGCTCCTCCCGCCCCCAGCTTCCCCCCACCTGGATTTGCCTGCCTCGACTGTCCACTTTGAACACTGAGGGAGCCACCTCAGCCCCTCTGTCAGCCTGTCTGGGGATCTCCCACCAGAAGTGCCGGGAGGCAGACGGGGACCCAGATGGAAATTGGACAGAAGCATCCACTTGGCTTATGGGCCATTCCCCCGAGACACGTCCCCTTCCCTGAAAGTCCTGAGCTGGGGCTCTGGTCCCCAACCCCACCACCTCCTCCTTCTGTTCCATCCACCACCCAACAGCCCCACGGGGCGGGCACTCACATTACCCCATTGTACCGATGAGAAAACTATGGCTGAGACAGAGAAAATGACTGTCCAAGTGAGTAAACAGCAGAGCCAGGAAAGCAACAGGCACTGTCAGGTCCTGCAGCCACCTCTGTCCAGCACAGTTCCACGCCCGTACTCCAGTCAAGGCCTCTCCACTCTCACCCTGGGAATGACCCTCCCGCCGTATCTCCTCCGAGCTCAGACACGGACCTGGGGGCAACTCCTCCCTCCCTTGTGTCCTCCTGCCAGTTTGCTGGGCTGGGTAGTCCCTGACCCAGGCCCCTTCTCCTCCTGGTCTAGGACGGTGCCCTCCTAAGGGCCCAAGGGTATGGCCTGGTAGAGGGGTTCCTGGAGCTGCCACCTCTCTGAGCCTGTGGCGGGGCTCATCCCAGTCCCTCCAGGATGTCTCGATGGTGGGCAGAACACAAACCTGGAAGCCTGGGGTCCTCGCAGGCACCAGCCACCCATGGACTGACCATGTCTCGTCCCACCCTCCCACCTTCTGGCTTCCAGATGGGTTTGGAAAACGGTGGGAGAACGTATCTGTGCCTCTGGCACCCTCTCTGCCCCACCCGCCACAGTGCCAGCCGCCACTTTCTCCCGAAGCCCCAGTTTCCACTGAGCAGCCGTCTCGGGGCTCTGCAAGCCCCTCCCTTCACACCCCCAGGCCCGGGGTCCCCAGCCCCGCCTGGTTCCCTTCACGCCAGCCACAGCTCTGCAACAGCCGCATGTGGATGCCTCTCAGCCACACTGTGCCAACAGTTGCCAGCATGGCCCACTGGCTTGAGCGAGGGACTTCCGCCCACACAGGGAGACTCCGGCCAGGAGGCCCATCCCCAGCCTCAGGATGCACCAACCAGGCCGAGGGGCCAGCCAGGGACCCCGCAGTTGGCAGGCACAGGCCTGGCCCTACTGGAAACCTGATGGCGGGTGGGGGCAGGATGGCGAGCAGGGCTGGTGGGCAAATGGCAACGGTCCGGCAGGGGCTGCAGAAGGCTCCAGTCAGCCCCTACGTGGGACTTCCATGAGCCCTCCAGAGGGCAGTGCTCATCCTGAGCAGGGTCACTACTGACACGACCCCCTGTACGGGGTCCTGGGCCTATAGAGCCGACCCCACTCACGCTGAGCAGCCCCCAGGGCAGGAAGCACCCGCACACGCAGCTCTCAGCCAGCATCTGAGCTGAGGGGGACTGGAACCTCCAACGGCCCAGGTCCCTGAGACCCTAAGGATGGGCAGCAAGGGCAGAATTCTAAAGTCTCAGTGCCAAGACACAGATGGCACTGCTGTCTTCCCAGTGGAAAAGCTGAGGCTCTGAGAACCAAAGGGGCAGGGCTGAGTGCTCAAGACAGTGAGCAGCCTAAAGCTGCAGGCCCTGGGATCTGACAACCCCAGCCCCACACAGCCTGCTAGCCTGCCACAGCCCGAGCAGCCGTGTGGCCCCGGCCAAGTCCCCTGACCCCTCTGTGCCTCGGCTCCCTCGTCAGCAAGACGAGAATGACAACACTCGCCCCCAGGATGGCTCCAAGAGGAAGCGCCAGCACACGGGGGGCCTGGAGGTGCTCACAGCTGTCACTGCAGCCTCCCACCCCACGCGCCAGCCTGGCCCAGTGCCAGGGATTCTCTCCTGCTCGGAGGTAGCCCCAGGGCATGGGGAGCCCCAGACAAGGGTGGCCCTGAGCGAGGGGCCTCGCTGCCAGTTCCTCCCCAGGCGCCTGGGGCTGGGTTCCTTGGCACCTGCCTCCTCCGCCAGGGCAGCCGAGAATTAATTAGCGAGTGTTTTGTGAAGCACTTTGAAGCTGTGAAGGGCCCAGCAGCTCTGCCCAGCATCATTATAAATATGATCGCTTTATTTATAGGCTGGGGGGCAGGAGGGGCCGGGATTTATGCTTTGCCAGCACAATCACCTTCTAGACGAAGTCATGCTTGACTCATGTTCCGCTGGCGCCGGAGGCCGGGCGGGAGGCGTCTGTAAACACAGAGCCTCTTTACCCTCCAGCCCCGAGCGCAGCGGCTGGAGGAGGCGGAGTGGAGGCATGGAGGAGGCTGCTCGGAGGCAGAGGAGGCTCACACGCCGCAGCCCAGTCCCCCCAGGAAGACCTGAGACTCCCACCCAGGCGGCCCCTCCCCAGCATCCGTGGGGTCCCGAGCCTCTGGAGACAAGCTGGCCTAGGACTTGGGGTGCAGCAGCCCCACAGAAGCAAGGGACATCTCTGACCTGCCACAGCCCTCCAAGGTCGAGCAGGAGGGAGGGGGTCTGGGGAAGGGCAGACGGCTCTGAGACAGGCATGTCGGGGCCCAAGGGCATCCCCAGCCCCACTGGCTCCTCTGCCTTGGATAGTGGCAATGGCTGAGTCCTTTCTCTGTTCCTTGTGCAGCCCAGGGCTGGGCCCAAGATAGGCAGGACTGAAGTCCACCAAACCATTCTGGCCTCCTCTTAAGAATGAGGTGACAGAGACCCAGAGAGCGGTGCCAGAGGCCACACGGCAAGCTAGAGTCTCTAAAGGGAGCGGCTTACTTTCCCTCCAGGGCTTCAACCTAGAGCAAGGCATCGGAACATGAGAACCGTGCACACACACGTGCACACAAACCATGCAGACACACAAACACACACATACCACACCACACACACCACATACACATACACACCACAGCCACACCCATATACCACACAGACATACCACACCCACACCCACACATGACCACTGTTCTTCAACGCTGCCACCAGCCACGCACAGCACTCTCATCACAAGCTCTCAGGGGTCTTCCCGATGCCTCCAGCCCACCACAGGTGAGGAACCTGAGGACCGGGCACGGCAAGGTCGCTTGCCCAGTGTCATAGGCCAGAAGGCAAGAGGGCCACACCTGAGCCCAGCCGGGGCTCCCTTCCCACAGCAGAGACCTGTGGGGCCGCCACATCCCTGCAGTGCATGCACACGCACACACATGTGCACACGCCAGACACTGCTGTTTCCACACCCAGTCCTTCAGAGCCGGAGGGTGGGCACAGGAAGCAAAGGCAGGCAGGGAGGAAATGGGGAGCAGCCTTCCTGGGGGAGGAGGAGGAAGCAGAATGGGGGGCAGGCATTGCCCCCTCTAGGCCAGTGTCTCCCCCCACCACCCCTGGTGGAAGCTAGGTCTCTTCTATCAGAGTGGGAACCCCCAAGCGTGAGGCCTGTCTTTCCCATCACAGCACGTGTGCCTCCGGGCCCCCCAAGCCCTGCCACCCCCGGCTTCAGCAAACAGGCCCAGGCTCAGCTTGGCAGAGGGACAACACCCACCACGCATGTCCCTCCACCTCTGCCCACCCCTGGTCCCGGGAATGCTGCAGAACGAGTCCCTCCTGGTGGCTGCCTGCGCGTGCAGGCCCTATTGCCCAACCGGAGATGCTATCAGCCTGTGGCATCCTACAGCATAGGGGTGGGAACCCATCTGCCCCAGAGCCAAAGTGGGCCCTTGCCGGGGGCAGAGTCACCGCATGGGGGCACCTGGGCCATCCTGCCTTCAGCCAGCCCTGGGACCAACCCGAGGCAACGTCCTCGCAGCACTGCACTGGGATGCGACGCCTCAGCACCACCCTCAGTTTCTGGGAGTCTGACCACAAACCAGGCCGAGGGACCACGTGGCATCAAGGCCAGTGAGCGTAGCTGCCTGCCAGGGGCCTGACACTCAGGAGCGCTCAGCCCCCGCAGCCGACAGCTCCCATCCTGCATGCTCTGGGCCACAGGCACCTAGCGTTGGCCAACTTGGCCCCATAGCTTTCTCCAGGGCTGCTGCAATGCCCCACCCATGCAGCCAACAGCCCTGCCCTCCGCTGCCAGGGAGCCCTCCTTGCAGGGGTTTGCCCCAGGAGGAGAGAGGGAGGCTCCGCATTTCAGGACCCACCTGGAGCCAGATGTAGGCGGGGCAGGAGGGTGCCTCCCAAGTCCTCCCAGCCACTGGTCCTGTGTGGGGTCCCTGCAGGGCGAGCGCCTAGGCGGCACCTGGGGCCCCGTCCCTGCCCAAGAGTAAGGCGCTCCACAGGTCTGGCTGTGCAGCCCACATAGCCAGGGTAGGGGAGGCAAGAGACTCCCCCTGTGCACGAGGCACTGGCAGCAGGGCACGTTTGGCACGGGGGCCTCACCGCCTCCTCGCCGCCCACGCAGACGCGCCCTCCACGCCGAGGCTGAGTTCTGCAGCTGTGTTTGGGGCAAGAGCGCTCGGCAGCAAGTTCCTGCCTCAGAATCCTGCTGGGGGCAAAAGGGCGGGGGCCCACTGACAGCAGCATTTTCTCTCACGGCCCTAAGTCCGGTCTCCAGGGCTGTGCACTGCCAAGAGGAAGGACAGAGAGAAGGAAGGACCGGCAAGAAACAGGCGCCACGCCTGGTGCTGGCCCTTAGACCTCCCCATGGCTCACCTCTCTGTACCCCATTTCTCTGTCTCGCAGGTAAGAGGTGAGTGAGACCACGCGTGGGGATCAGGAAGGGGGTGTCCAGGGTGGCCCCCCAGATGGGGGGGCTCCTAACAGGACCCAGTCACCAATGGGCACCAGGGGAGGGGTCTGACCAGGTGACTCCAGGTCCCCCCAGCCCCAACACTGCACGGTTCCACTGAGATGGGATGGGGTGTCATCCCCAGGCTTTGGGGGGCCCAGGCAGCTGGACTCTGATGATCACAGGCACATGGATGACCGGGCTGCAGGGCCTTAGGAAGGAGTCAGTGCAGCCTGGAGGGCCCGGGACAGGGCTCAGAAAGGCCAGCCCTGACTTCTGAGGGCCCGGTGTGATGGCAGCCTCAGACTTCATGGACACTGCTCCCTGCAGCAGGCCTGTGGTGCCGATACCTTTTCATTCCTCAGGCGTCAACAGCCCTCCTGCCTGCCTGAATCTCAC